GCAGATTCACTTTTAAATTGTCTAGAGTACAGTTTCTTCACACACTGAAGTCCAGAATAGGTGCAGGAGACCAAAGAGACAATAGTCTAAAAGACGACAGCTTCCAAAAACGTTTTGTAATGTGAACATGTGCAGTCAGCTGTCAAACCATTGCAGAGCAGAAATAAAACGGAGACAACTTTAAACACAAGGGGGCGTACAGATCATACTTTCTAAACCTTCAACTTGACCCAGTCAACTCCTCAGTGGCAGAGTTGTATCTGGGCCGGTGTTTTTAATCCAACTTGTCAAGAGCTTGATACTTCCTATTTCTATGGTACTGTAGTGGTGGAATTGTTGACCCGTGGTGTCTGTGTTTGCCTGTTTGCCTGGCACGGTCCTTTACACCAGAATGTGTTATCATTATTGTCTTGACACAAGTGCACTAATGAGCGCTTTTCCTCTAATTGGACCGTGACATGATAGGAAAATACCACAGGCATCAGCACATCCAACCACAGAATACCCACAGTGTACAAGCCCTTAATTATAAAAATACATCAACATGGTGTTCAGTCTTGTACAGTAAGTGGGTTTGTTGTCACTTTATATATAACAGTCTTTGGTTGTCACCCTGTAAGGCAAGGCAAGGCAAGGCAAGTTTATTTATATAGCACTTTTCAACACAAGGCAATTCAAAGTGCTTTACAAAAAATGAAAGAGATTAAGAAAATGGCATTTAAAATCAGTCATTAAAAAGAAAAGCTAATAAAATAAACATTAAAAGAAAAAATACATGGATAAAAGTTACAGTGCAGTCAATTAAACATTAAAATAAAAAAGTACATGGATAAAAGTTACAGTGCAGTCTAAGATATGAATAGTTCAATTAAAAGCAGCGACAAAAAGAAAATTCTTCAGCCTGGATTTAAAAGTAGTCAGAGTTGCAGCGGACCTGCAGGTTTCTGGGAGTTTGTTCCAGATATTTGGAGCATAATAACTGAACGCTGCTTTACCATGTTTAGTTCTGACTCTGGGGACAGAAAGCTGACCAGTCCCTGAAGACCTGAGAGATCTGGATGGTTCATAATTTAGCAGGAGGTCAGAAATGTATTTTGGGCCTAAACCATTCAGTGCTTTATAAACCAGCAGCAGTATTTTGAAATCTATTCTTTGACACACAGGAAGCCAGTGTAAAGACTTCAGAACAGGAGTGATGTGATCCACTTTCTTAGTGTTAGTGAGGACTCGAGCAGCGGCGTTCTGAATCAGCTGCAGCTTCCTAATAGATTTTTTTAGTGAGACCTGTGAAGACACCATTGCAGTAGTCGAGTCTACTGAAGATAAAAGCATGGACAAGTTTTTCCAAATCCTGCTGTGACATTAGTCTTTTAATCCTAGATATATTCTTTAGGTGATAGTAGGCTGATTTAGTAACAGTTTTAATGTGACTGTTGAAACTCAGGTCAGAGTCCATGACTACACCTAGATTTCTGGCTTTATCTGTTGTTTTGAACATTGCAGACTGAAGCTCAGTGCTAACTTTTATACGTTCTGACTTGGCTCCAAAAACCATTACCTCAGTTTTATCTTTGTTTAATTGGAGAAAGTTCTGACACATCCAGTCATTGATTTGTTCAATGCACTTACTCAGTGTTTGAATTGGAGCATAGTCTCCTGGTGAAATTGTTACGTAAATGTGTGTGTCATCTGCATAGCTATGGTAACTTATTTTGTTGTTTTTCATTATCTGAGCCAGTGGTAGCATGTAGATGTTAAAGAGAAGAGGCCCCAAGATGGAGCCTTGAGGAACCCCACATGTCATATTTGTCAACTCAGATGTGTATTTACCTATAGAAACAAAGTTGTTTCTGTCCTTTAAGTAGGATTCAAACCAATTCAGAACTGTTTCCGAAAGTCCCACCCAGTTTTCCAGTCGGTCTAGTAATATGCTGTGGTCAACAGTGTCAAACGCAGCACTGAGATCTAATAATACTAACACTGAAGTTCTGCCACTGTCTGTGTTTAAGTGGATGTCATTAAAGACCTTTACAAGAGCAGTCTCAGTGCTGTGGTTTGGACGAAAGCCTGACTGGAACACATCGAAACAGTTATTTAAATGCAAGAAATTACTCAACTGTTGAAAAACAACTTTTTCAATGATTTTACCTAGAAATGGCAGGTTTGATATGGGCCTGTAATTGTTCATTACTGAAGCATCTAGATTATTATTTTTTAAGAGCGGTTTAATGACTGCAGTTTTCAGGGCCTGTGGAAAAATACCTGAGTGAAGAGATTTGTTTACTATATGAAGTAGATCTGAGGCCATGCAAGGCAAAACATCTTTGAAAAATCCTATTGGAATAATATCAAGGCAGCAGGAGGAGGATTTCAGAAGTTGAATAATGTCCTCTAGGTTTTTATCATTAATCTGATGGAATTGTGTCATGATGTCTGAATTGATGTTAAGTGGAGATAGGGACAACACATTTGCTGTTCCTGATGCAGAGGCACTGACTGCTTGTCTGATTTTCTGAATTTTGTCAGTGAAAAGGAGGCAAAATCATTGCACGCCCTGGTGGATAGAAATTCAGAGGCTACTGACACTGGGGGGTTAGTTAGTCTGTCGACGGTAGCAAACAAGGCACGTGCGTTGTTTTTGTTTTTGGTAATGATGTCAGAGAAGAACGATTGTCGTGCGTTTTTCAATTCCAAATGATAAAGGCCAAGTCTCTCTTTATAGATTTCAAAGTGAACCTGGAGATTTGTTTTTCGCCACCTGCGTTCAGCTTTTCAACATTCTCTTTTTTCTGTTTTCACGGTCATGGCCTTTCTCCATGGAGATATTTTCTTGCCAGACACTTCCTTTACCTTAGTTGGAGCAATGGCATCTATAACATTTTTAATTTTTGAATTAAAATGATCTACTAGCTCATTTACTGAGATGTTAGCAGGGGCAAGTGTGGAAGAAAAATTCTGAGTAAACATTTCCCTAGTATTTTCAGTTAAATATCGCTTTGTGGTTACCTCTTTTTGAACATTTTTGTGAACAGAAATAGAGCTCTCAAAGAAAACACAGGAATGGTCAGAGAGTGCAACATCAGTCACCACAACCTTAGAGATATTCAGACCCTTTGAGATAATTAAGTCCAGAGTGTGCCCCTTATTGTGCGTGGGCTCCGTCACATGCTGAGTCAGTCCATAGCTATCAAGAACACAAAATAGTTCTTTAGCCCCTCTGTCCTGGGGGTTGTCAACATGGATGTTAAAATCACCAACAATGACTAGACGGTCAAAGTCAATACACACTATAGACAGCAGTTCAGTAAAGTCATCAAAAAAGCTTGCACAGTATTTGGGTGGTCTATAGATATTTAGGAACAGAGCTCGAGAGGAGCATTTCAGCCGAAGGGCCACATATTCAAAAGAATCAAAGTTCCCATAAGATGTCTTCCTGCATTGAAGGGAATCATTGAACAGAATAGCAACTCCACCCCCTTTCTTATGCATTCTTTCCTGACTCATAAAACTAAAGTTGGGAGGGGTTGATTCGATAAGAACAGCTGCACTGTTATTTTGTTCAATCCAAGTTTCTGTTAAAAACATAAAATCGAGATTGTGCTCAGGGATAAAATCATTGATTAAAAATGTTTTTCCTGCCAAAGACCTGACATTTAATAAAGCTAGTTTAAGTTTGTTAAATACACTATCAGTCATGTTTTTTGTAACAAGCTGTGGCTGACATGGAATCACTGCTAAATTAGATACACTCACACAAACGTTTGAGCGCTTCCTGTTTCTATGATTCACCGCTCTTAATCTATTACCTATCAACACAGATATCGGCAAAGCTACTGGCAGGCAGGGCCCCGACATGTCCTGGAAAGAGTTGAGAGTGCCATACGCCCTTGAGCCTGGACCCATCACATATCAGTAAAAGTTTGTTGTGTTTTGTACACACACATCCTTATCAGGCTTCGGAGACTGCAGATGCCCCCTCGAAGGGAGGGGAGGTGGTCGACGTAGGCACGGTGATGGAGACGGGCGAGATGGTGCGGGGGTAGAGGACATGCTGCCAGGGGGGGGAGGTGGTTGACGTAGGCGCGGTGATGAGGACGGGGGAGATGGTGCGCGTAATGAAAACAAACGAGAGAAGAACTGTAAATCTGTTCACATTAGAGCAAAACACAGCTAACAAGTCTAGTGGAATTTAAGTGAAATATTCGATACATAGATTTTCAGGGATAAATAAGGTAATCACACATACTGTAAGGTAATTGTGGTCCTACTGTTAGAGGGTAACTGCATTAAGTCAACATTAACCATGCTTTGGTTCATGTAAAATAATTGACTATAAACCATGTCAGAATATTTGTATTTATTTAAAATATATATAGAGTAAAAGCCCCAAATTGTGCTATATTAGACTCAATGCCCCTTTCAGCAGTGAAAAATAACCAAGGTACTTTTTAAAGTATTGGGCTTGAGAACAACAAGTGCTTTACTTATTTACATATTTTGCTACTTTAAACTTACTCTGCCACATCTAAAGTGTATTCTTTTAACTTAACAATATTTATTTATTAGTTAGAATTTAACATTTAAAAAAACATATCATGAATTTATAAATAAAACACACTTTATTTAAACTGTTCAAAGCATATAAAGCTGAAAAGATTAGTTCTACTTCATAAGCCATAACATTAACATTATATATAGAGAAACAAAACTTTATTTAGAAGTGGTTCATATGTTCTTTAGTGATAGACCTTTACTGTTTGCTTGTTTTTGAAGTAGTGTGGTATTGCTACTTCTATTCAAGAAAATACTACTTTTTTTTTACTTTTCTTTTTTTAAAGACAATAACCCTGCTGATCGTCTTCATTACTTGACATGATATTGATTTGACAAGCCAAGTCTGTGAGTAAGTGAAAATGTCCAGTTTACCAATTTGTGACTGGAAACAGTTTTTTCCCTCATGTTGCTCAGAAGTGTGTGGAGTCATAGGTCTGTCTGGCACAGATGTGTGTTGATGTGCTTCCAGCTGTTTGTGTGGATTCATGATGTCTGAACCTATAGTCTGGTCTGCAGTGGAGGATCCTCCCTACAGCCTGTGAGATCATCACACTTTTAATTAGACCGGATCCGCCAATTAACAGGAAGTCAGCCGGTCCCTCTCAGCCTTTTAAAAGCAGCCGAGTCCAACCTCCAGCAGGACTCTGACAGAGGCTCACACAAGGTAGGTCACCTCTCCCTTCATTCAGGATTTTCAGTCATGAGCGTGAATGCACTCTGATTTATTTATTCTTTATGTGTCTTATGCTTGGTTTCAGATTTACTGAAGGATGTCTTCTACTGTACTTTGTGCTGTTACTCTGCTGGCATGTGCTTTGACATTTGGCGCAGCTCAGAGTGAGTATAGTAACTGTGACATTTGTTTTGCATCGTGAAACCTTTAACTGAAATGTATCATTCACTTGTTTTGAAGTTTTTGATTGAAAGAAATGTGCTTTTATGAAGCACTTTCCTGAAATGAACTGTGTGTTTTCTGTTGTTGTACTTGTTCATGTTTACTTTGTTATTCATTATTTTCTAGAGAGGGGACAAACTGTTTTTATTTGTCACCTATTCAAAAATCAATATCTGGCACAGCTTTATTATTTACACAGATGTCCTCAGATATTATTAGAACAAAGTTGATGAAAATCTTTAAAGGCACAGATGCCTTATTGTCCCTCTGATATTATTTTCTTTTTCCATGTGCTCTTTCTCATAAACAGCAAGCTGTAAAGGTCGCTGTGGTGCTGAGTACTACAGGGGTAACATGTGCCAGTGTGATTATGGCTGCCTGGAGTATGGAGAGTGCTGCAGAGACTATGAATCCCAGTGCACCACAAGTGAGAGCTTTTCCTTCTGATTTACATATAGCCTCATATAAATACCAAAAACTACTCTGGTTTCATTGTACAGTCTTTGATACAGATTTTTGTTACTGAAAAGGTTTTCATGAAAATGTATTACCTATTCCCCAAGTTTGCTAAAACCAAAATTATAATATAATCACCATATGTAGTCTCTTTGTACAAGTCTGTTGTGTTTGTGTGCTACAGAAAACTCCTGTAAAGGACGGTGTGGCGAAAGCTTCAAAAGAGGCCGTCTGTGTAGCTGCGACTCTGACTGTATTAATTTCAAACAGTGTTGTTCTGATCGTAATCTGCACTGTGATGCAGACGGTAAGCCTTGTCAGCATGATTGTGTGTGTGTGTGTTTGTGTGTGTTTGTGTTATTTTTTTGTCAACCGTGACTTTATTTTTACAGTTTCACACTCAGTAACATTATTATTATAGTTCCTCCGTGTAAAGGTAGCCCTCACCTTTTTTTCAGTTGTCATGCAATCATTTTCATTTGAGATTAGTACATGTGCATGAAGCGCATAGAAGCCAGGATTAATGTTGAATGGCATGTCCACCAGCATGTGAAATAGCATGCAATGCATGCAGTAATCTGCACCGATGCATTTTACATTATTTTCTGTTTTGGATAATTACCACAGAGAAAATCAGTGGAGCAGCACCAGTGAAGGCTAATTCATGTGATAGCATAAATGATAACAAGCCAAAAGGTATTTTCAACTTGGCAGTACGGCGAATTTTTGTCATTAAGGATTGAGAAAACTGTTTATTACAGGGTTCACTTTTTTTTTTAACCTTTATACATTTTCTCACAGAGCCGACTTTGAATGATGCAAGTGATCCTTCTACATTCAGTGAGGGAAACCATGCAGGTGACTTGTGGAAATTAACTTAATAACCCATAATCATAAAGCAATTTGTTTAAGATTGCTTAAATATGATAATGATTATAAGCTGAACTCAGTGGAATTTAAAAGGCATATGTCAGGAAGTTGTTTACGCTGGACTGCCACACTGTGGCTCTGCTGCTGTTTTGCTTTGAGGGCCAAGTCTCACAAGAACAAGCCAAGAGCACAAGCTGCAGGGGCCAAAAGAAACACAAGGAAGCAGTGTGGTCATGAGAGTGTGTAGGAGGGTAACGGGCACAGGCTCAGTCACAAGAGAGGAAAGCACAAAATGAATCCAAGAAAGGATCACAGAACATTTTCTTCAGGTTTTAATTCAGGGGTTCGTTGGAATAGATTGGTGGGTGGAGATACTCTTGCATCCATTGAGAGATTTCCGTCTGGAATTTCAAGACATTCAGTCAGTGATGTTCAAAAAAATGAATTCAGGGAAAATATAGATAGTGAGGATAAAATGACTGTGTCAGCAATGGCAAACAACAACATTTATATTTGATGTTGCCTCATTTGTCCACAGATGACAATTATATTCCACTGGTCAGTCCAACATCAAATCCACAAGATGATCTCGGTGATGGTGAGCAATGATGTAATAAATCTATCTATTTTTCCACCAGTAAACTTTCACTAGTATGACATCCAGGTGTGCCATTCTCCCACATTCCTCTAGATATGTACAACCAGATGTTTCCCACTGATCAGTTTTCCAACAATGGAGTTGAGGACCCGGAGGCAGGTCCAGTCCCACAGAGCACCAGCGGCTATGAGTTGTCCACAGCTGACGTGTTGGATCAAATATCTACTGAACCCACCCAGGATCCAGATCCTCTGCCGCTCAGCACAGAAGCATTTACCGCCTCCACTGAAACACAGACCACTCTCCCAGATACTGAAAAAGAGGCCGATTTCAACCCCTCCACCCTTAACCCCACTGAGAGCACGGGTATGTGACATCAAGGGATTACTTTGAAATAACAAAGAGATGACCAGAAAATTCAATGAAAACCAAACAAAATGAAGAGCCTCATTAAATGTTGTTACAACACCAGCTGTCAGAAAAGCTTCAACACTACTCGATTCATATAGATTTTGAAAGCCTATTTGTACAAAACGATTTCTTCCTCTAACCCTATTTAAAATAATAACATTGCACTGCTTCTGCAACAATGAAGTAAGGAAGAACAAGCCTCCACCAAAGTACTGTACATTAAAAAATACTTCAGTTTTTTACATCTAGTAGTTGCTGTATTTGACTTGTTATAGGTTTGTTTCGATACTAAACAGTGATGTTTAAGACAGGTTTGAATCTTTCAATTTTCTCCATGTTTGAGTATGTCATTTGTTAAATCGTGAATGTATATTTTGCTACTCATTTGTTCAAGTTGTAACTGCTACCTTAAACACACAATAGACAATAATAACTTCAGAAGCATACTTTACCACCCGTCTTTATAACATTAATTCAATAATGTATTAATATGCAACTTACTACCATTGACTAATATTGATTCAAATGTAAGAATTCATAATCATGATTGTCCTCCTCCAGATGCCAGTGATGCATCCACTGCTGGAACCACAACAGCAGCAGCGGTTTCCAGTCAGCCTCCTCCAACCACAGCGCCCCAATCTGACTCTTCTCCTACAGCCGACACCCAAGAGCTCCAGACAGAGGTACAAACTGAGGATGACATTATTCTAGGAGAAACAACTGTAGCCTACCCAGAGGACCCAGAAGTTACAACCCTATCCACTGCCTCCTACACTCCTGTGGCTTCAGGATCCACAGGACCCCCTCAGAGCTCCACCACAGTCCTGGAAGACTCTCAGGGCACCACCATCTCTTCAGTAGCATTGGACCTGACACCCATCACTGAGGCAACCCCCTCAAACCTTGGACCAGATGATGCTGAGAGCACAGACAGTGTCCCAACAGACCCCACGTCTTCTCTGACAGACCCTGACTCCACCAGTGTTTCTCCAGAAGAGCCTGGGGACCTGCCAGAGCTTTATACCCTGACCACCCAAACACCCTTGTTTACAGAATCAGTGCAGGATGACACAACAAATGAAGATGCAGCTGGAGTAACCACTGCTGATCCGCTTGATGTTACCCCAGACCCTACTGCCGATCAGCTTGATATCACCCCAGACCCCACCAAAAACACTCCACTTGAAGCCACCCCGAAACCCCAAGACAAACCAGCTCCAAACAAGCCATCACAAACTAAACCACCGTCACCTAAACCCAGCTCCAATTCTGAGACTAAGCCTCTGATCCCCACGCAAACCCTCACCATAGACAATCCTAAAGACTACCAAGCAGGTTAGAAACCTTTCTTATTTCTGGTTCACATTCTCAACAAAACACCCAAGAAAAACAAATTGCCTTAAAGATGATTTATGTGACTCTGAGAAGAGAATGTTCATTGTAAGTATTGAAATGTTGTTCCATAGGCTCTGCAGCCTCTATATTCTGGGTATTTTTTTTACTGATCTCAGCCAGCTTTATGAGCTTGGTTGTTTTGACATTATCCCTCTGGGTGAATAAAGCATGCTTCAAAGCAGGGCAACATTATATTAAGTGACGGAGGTGGTTGTTAACCGAGGCTACTCTGCAAATTAATCAAACACTCTTTTGAAATTGGCAAGCTCGGATACTTTAAAGAAAGAATGGAAACAAGTGCCCACAGCTCCTGGAGCACAACATGATATATTTAGCACCTAGTAAACTCAGTTATTGCACACTTATTTTTTTATCCAAAGAGATGTTTTTTCTCACATATTTTGTCCTTTTTCTCAGATGACAGCAACGATACAAATCTGTGCAGCGGACGTCCGGTCGGCGCAGTCACTACACTGAGGAACGGCACCATGGTCGTTTTCAGAGGTGAGGGTCTACCATCTGAACATTACATAAAAGCTTGTAATACTTTTACGTTTTTTGATGCAGAAAAGAAAACTAAAAAAGTACAGCTAAACATGAATAAAGAATGTACTCTGTGTATAACGTTGACAGTAACAACAATTAAGATACAAATGACTCTGAAGATAAACCTTATCTGCTATTTTACTTTCCAGGACACTACTTCTGGCTTGTTGACAGATACATGGTGCCTAGTCCGGCTCAGAGTATCACACAGGTGTGGGGGGTCCCTTCCCCCATCGACACTGCGTTCACCCGCTGCAACTGCCAGGGCAAAACATACATTTTTAAGGTACATTTTCTTATCTTGACACCAGTGACTGCATTTTAAAGATTTCATGATGAGCCTATTTGCACTATATCAGGATTTTAATTAGGCTCTATTTTTTTCGCCTGGAGTTTAATGTTTTTGTGTTTTTGCAGGGACCCCGGTACTGGCGATTTGAAAATGGTTTGTTGGACCCTAACTATCCAAAGGTTGTTCAAGTGGGCTTTGATGGGCTCCGTGGCCAAATCACAGCAGCTCTGTCTGTCCCTCAGTACCAGAGCAGGAGAGAGTCTGTTTACTTCTTCAAAAGAGGTAAAAAAACTGCTGTTACAAGCTACTTGATATATGTCTAGTCTATGTATTGCTTATGTTACTGTAATTTTCTAATGACCTTATTGAATGGTAATGCCTGTGACCTAAGATTTTCATCTTCATAACTACAATGTAGTACGTATGACTAATAAAAGCCTTGAACCTTGAATTAATATATTTTGAAATTTGACTTGTTACTTTCAGGGGGAACTGTGCAGAAATATTCCTACCAGTTTGGCGCCAATCCAACATGTGGCAGGAAAGTCCACAATGCTGTTTACACAGTCCGCAGCAGAGTGGTTAGACGAGCAGGTATTCTAAGAATTATACAAAATGGTGTTGCATACATTCTTCTTCACAATGCCATCAATTCCCTTTTTTTGGTAGTCTGTATGCGACATGACTTTGTGTTGGGTGAATATTGTCCCAGATTTACTTAGCTCACGTAAACATGTTTTATTTGAATTGCAACACATGGCATTTTCTGAAAAAGTGAGTCATGCCTTTGTGGAGGTGAAAGGTGCAGCGAGGTCTACCTTATAAATACTTTGCAAGTGGAAATAAGTTGCCTGTGGGATGTTTATGGGACAGCAACTGTTAAGCAGAAGAATGGAAAAACGAATACATAAATATGCAGCAACCATTGAACAAATCTAATTTTCCTCAACTCTTGATTTCAGTGTCTCTTTTAGGGCCTTCCATCAACATCCGGACATCATGGAGAGGTTTCCCTTCGACCATCACAGCTGCTGTGTCCGTCCCCAGCCGCACAGAACAGGAGGGATACAAATACCACGTCTTCTCCAGATGTAAATACTTTAATATATATCTCCTTTAAACAGATTAAGGGTAAGGTTTCAGTTTTATTTCAGGATATTTGCTCTAGGATCAGTCTAGTAAGAAAGAAGGTATAGTATAGTTTTAGGCAGTGTTCCACATAAAGCCTACATTTATATGAATTAGTAAAGACAGGACACCTCGCCTTATTTTGGATTAGCTCCTAACACAGCCTGTTAAATAAAATAGGATGAAGTAGTTTTTAAGTAGTAATTGTGGACAAAACGTCAGTCTGTCATCTGGCTTTTTGTTGTTAGCCTCATTCAAGTCAGACATGCCTAATGAGGACCATGTGTGTCTGGGTGTGTGTCAGGGTGGGGTGGGATATTAGGCAGATGTGAAGGCCATTGAGGGCGGTGTCTATTCACCTACAGCTCGTTTGTTATAAAGTAACCACAGTAAAAGATTTAAAGGCGATGCATACTGTAATCCCTGTCTGAGTGAAAAACGGACTCAGTTTAAGCCTGCGTGATGCATCAAGTCAGGAGGGGTTTACCGTCTAGTCATTTGTCATTTAAGAAAACCTCCAGCTATTAAGATTTATGTCCAACTGTGGCCAAAAGCTATCCAAATGAATGTTGTTTAAAACTCAAGACTGTTAAACGAGGCATGAGATTATTTTCATGCCAAATTCATGCTCACTAAAATGGAAACTGGCATGTAGATGGCCGGGTATAAAAGGCCATCCTGTACACGATGTATTAATGAAAATGCCTAATGTTTCTTTCTGTTTCTTTTGCAGCCACGTCCTACAACGTGAGGATGGGCGGGGAACGTCCCGTTGTTCCTGCGCCGACAGCCAACGAGTCACCTCAGAGCAGAGATTTCTTCAAATGCCAAAAGAAAGTCTGATGAAAGATTTTGTTTACCTATAGTTTTATTACATTCTTCATAAAACACACCGCTCCAGCATGGACTGGTTACAAAAAGGTACTTTAAAGTACATTCAAAAACAAAACTAAAAACAACAGGCTTCAGAACAAATAAACACCATCAAAGCTGAATACAGAATCTGAGCACGCCGATTAGAAAATGTGTAATGTGTTTCTAAAAGAGAATGAGAACTACTGCAGTCACGTCCGTCGCCAAGTCCTCTGATTAGTGCTTCATCTCGCAAATCGTCTTCCGTGTAAACCCCGAGAAGGAAATCCCTGACCTGTAAGGATAAAATATTTTGTTAAAATTAAGCCTGCTATACTGATGTAAAGATTATGTACAGTGGCTGTATAAAACGTGTATAACATGTAATGTTTCATCTGTTATTCTCATTAACATGCATTTTAAACACACAAACATGAATTAAATGCCATGAATGAAACAAATGCTTTGTGTGTGAATTTATATGTATAGCTGTCATAAAAAATGTTGCACTGCTAATAATGTGCATTTTAAATAAGTCAATAAGGAGACAAGGTGAGGTTGATTCAGTACTACTTTTCAACAAATTACAATAATATTTTAATTTAATACATTCATAAGTAAGTAATTATACTATATTTAGTTTGTCTGTAACAGTCTGGAAATCTGTTATTTTATATCTGATTGACGTTAAATAAGGTAATTCTGTTTTGAGACATTCATATAAAACTCTCGTATATAAACAAGTACCGGGTTAACGCTGCCCATTTTAATATTTGTTTTTTCTAAAACTGGAGAGAGATGAAGATGAGACATGTTGTATGTAGTGTAAGGAAGGTCCCAGACCAGAAAAATGGTGGTTGTGGTTCATGGACAGCCTTGAGCCCCTAGGCCACCTTGGCACCTCACAGGCTGCTGATTTTGATGTGAGAAGACAAACATGTTGTGAAACAGCATCACATTCGACTGCTTGGAACCAGACTTAATTGGCATCGTAAAAACAAAACTAGTGTGGTATGACCAGCCAAATAACATTTCTGGACATCAAAGTATGGAGAGCGCACAGTCAGCCACACAACTTTGCAGGACGCTTATTAAAAAAAAACGGTGTCTCTCAGGAAGAAACAGGATATTCCTCCATTCAGCCGCTTATCTTGTTACGAATACTTTGATCAGTCATGATTGTGGTACACATGTTTTAAACATAATTCTCTTCTGCTGCTGTTATTCACAATATTAAAATCATGTGCAAATATCTAAAATACATTTGAGTTTTGGAGAAATTTTTTTTTCCATCCCTGATGTAGCATCTGCAAAAAAGCAATGGACTTAATAAGCCCAAAGCCACTATGGGCCTGGCATAGTTTTATGCTCAAAAGCAATATTTGCTCCATCACCCCCCCCCAAACCTGTGAGTGTGCTCTCATCGTTACCTCCTCTCTTCATGCGGCCCCCACGGTGCTCGGGCCAGCGCTGCAGCTGTCTGCTGGATCCAGGTCTGGAGGGTCGAGGTGGACCACTGCTTGTATCTAGAATAATTAAACATAGCAATCAGAACTGAACACTCATTAGGATCCATAAAGTGATTTTTAAATCGGCCCAGTCAGCAGGCTGCAATGTACCTGCGGAGCTGGAGGGGGGCTCCTGGCTGGTGGAGGGGAGGCTGGCCTTGTCAGACTGCTGACCTGACTCCTCCACATCCCCCTGAGAGACCACTGAATCTCCTGACATATCTCCACTGGGCCTGCAATAAACACAACACACAGATGAGTTGGGCGATAGAGACGAAAACTTGTTTGAGTTAAAAAGCCAAGTTATAACATATCAGTTCCTATTCTTGCAAAACATGTATAAAGATTCAAGCACCATCAAAGACTGTCCATTTTCAAAAACTGTTGGGGTCTTAGGTCCCCCCAAAAATGTGCCTATGGGAAAAAGGTATAACTTTTAAAGCTATAAATACTAACAGTGAAAAGATACAAAGATTTTCAGTAAAAGAAGATTTGCTGATAAAAGGGCAGGGGGAATCTTGTTGACTGCTAGGTCTGATTTCCAGCAGCAGTCAAAAAAAATAAAAATAAATGATTGACAAATAGCAGAGAGGAGTGAGCCTCACCGATCAGAGTCTGGCTCCAGGAGGGCGTCGTCCCTGTCCTCCACTGAGCCGGCGCCTCCTGGCGTGGACATGCTCACTATGGGAACCGACTGAGAGGCGTGCTCAGTGGAGTCGGACTGAGCCTCTGAGAAGATATTTACTGGAACAGAAGCACACAAACACAAGATAAAGTTGCTGATTTTGTTAGCACTCCTAAATCTGTGAATTCCGGCTTCCTGTAAACTGTGTCGAGTACGTGGAAGAAAAGGGCGTGTCGGTAGAGAGACAGAACAGACAGAGGCGGATACCTGGGGCTGTAACTTGTAATGGTGTGGTGGGAACGCTGCGTCCACCCGACTCCTCTTCATGAGGTGCTAGGAACAAGGGACTTTCAAACATCCCAAGACCTGAAGACAAGAAAAAAAAGTTTTACGCTCTGTGAAAAAAAACCACATGTCAGCATTTGATTGCTTTAGCTGTTAATTACAAATTACAGTACATGTGCCCCTGTTAAATGTATATATTTAAAATAAGAAATTAAATGTTTCTTTTTCATTCTGCATTTTCTTTAGTTTCCTTGGGGTGTTAAATGCTGTTGTACACAATCTGTATCTCTGCTGTACCTCCTTGTGATGCGAGATGTCCCAGGTCAGAGTGTGAGGACGAGCTGGTCTGAGGGCTGTCGTCTGAAAAACCAAACCTGAAGCGAGGCACACCAGCCACTTGGGAAGAACTGACAAAAATAAATAAAAACATTTTAGGTTTTAGTTATAGCTCAAATTATAAACTAAAGTAGTACATATTTAAATAGAAACAGTGTAAGAGGCAACCAACAACATTATTTATGCAGTATATAATTACCCTGCAATTATAATATCTGATCAAGTAGCAATGGTTTTGTAACCAATAAACAACATTACAGGCGTTTTTCCTGAGCGTTGTGACGTGCTTGTCTCCGTCTATGTGTGTGAGACTTACTTGTCAAGTCCTTCCGAGCGGTGCGGCACCACCAGAGTGGGGGTGCAGGGCACTATACTGTCATCATCAACAAAGAAATGCTGCTGCAACGGGAGAGATGGAAGAAAGCGTTAGATACAAACACGCACAGAACCGAGTGAAGGTTGCCTGAATAATGTAATGCATGTACATTCTCTGATGCTTTAGAGGACTTACAGAAGTGCCCTGCACCCCGGGGGTGAGCTGAGGAACTCTTCCCACTGACTGACGACGGACAGGGTTACGCTGTGAGGTTACATTTGAAAAACATGTGATTAACAGAGCTTTGCTTTTGATTTACACAGAGATGACCCAAGATAAATACTGTGAAAACTAACTTTTTAAAGAGTAACTTAAATATCTTAGTAACAATGTTTTCTATTTAAATGTAGTTTTCTTCTTTTCCCTACGAGGAAAGTTCTATTTATTTATTTATTAGGAAAGATTAGTCTTCCTTCTTACCTGAGCATGTGGTCCCAGGTCTGATGTCAGGGCGATGCTCATTCGAGAGGGCAGCTGTTGTGTTGGTCTCCGTGGAGATTGGGGCATCCGAGAACCAGAGCTTATGATAGGTTGATCAGTAGAGAAGGCCTCCATTGCAGTGCCCTCAACTAAACCAACAAAAATGCTCAAATAAAACAGAAGTCCATTTTGTTTGAAACAAAATACATTTGATCAGAGCTGTAAGAATTCAGAACAAGCCTCCTTCAGAAAACCCAACCATTGCATGTATTGTTCAATTATAGGCACTAGATTCAGAGAGTTGGAAAAGACAAATCTTGTTTAAAGTAAAAAAAAGTTTTTACTTTACTTTTCAATCTAAAGCTGTATAAGAGAACGTCAATATGATTTGAGGGGATTATGCATGCTCAAGAAAAAAGTGGTCGGTTATATTAGTATATCAGTTACGGGAGTGGATTTATGAAATAGTTAAAATAAAAAAACACTTAAAGGTAGGGTAGGTAATTCACTTCAGAAACAGTTTGTTATATTCCATGGAACGCTCTTAACATCCCAATAGCAATGAATATATTAAATGCTTTGACAATAAATACATAAATAAATGTCATCTGTGGAAACCGTGGTGCTGTAAAAAGCATGAGCAATTATTTTAGCCGGCCCGGCTAAAATGACTGGATGGCCTACCTGCCTGTCAGCCTTCCATCTCGTGCACAAACTTATCTCGTGCCCTCATTGGTCATGTGCGCGTTCGTGTGTGTTGGAGGAGGGGCTCTGTGAGGAAGTCTGAAGGAAGGGGCAGATTTTTTTCGGCTGCGTACTTTCAAATTCTAGCGCACTCGAGCTGGTTTCTCCATTCTTACCTACCCTACCTTTAATCTTGCTGGTTCCCTTACTGAATCAATCTTAAAAGTTGTACTACAGTGACTTTGGGCCCCTTATTGGTCTATTGTATTTCGGTAGAGTATGAGTTGAATTTATTTGCTGCACTCTTCCCTTCAGACAGACAACAGATGATTACATCTTTCATAGTCATCGTCAAGTGTCAGATAACTAATTGAATGGCGGGACAGTTTGTGAGAGCATTCAGTGAGTCTGAGGTGGATGTGCGTTTGAAAGGGTTTCCTGGATCTTACAGCTGGCTGTCTGGGAATCTGCCGGCCTCTGGGTGGAGTCAGACGCCCCCAAACATTCCTCTGTCTCCGTGCCCGGGTCCGTTACATCAGCTCCCTGTGAGAGGAGAGATCAAAAGGAAAACATTAAGAGAAAGGGTGGTCAGTGAAAAGGAGAACCACAAGAACAGTTTTAAAAGTTTAACTATAATAAATTAAAAAGTGGGAAGGACATGAAGATGTGTAAAAAAGAACAAATTAGAGGAAGCAGGTTATGGGATGATTTTCACACTATGCTGGCAACACAGCACATACAGATTATGATTCATTTTGTCCCTATATGGAACAAAGATGCCCTTCAGAAAGGGCCAAATAGTACGAGTAAAAACACTCATACTCTTCCATATACATTTATTTAAAATGTTACAAACCTAAGCCAGGCAACAGGCAAACTTTGATTCACAATTTAAAAAAGGCAGCCCTACAAAGCTTTGTTAACGAGACAGGTCAGCAAGGGCTAACAAGTCCACATGCTGAGAAGTGTAAAAGATATGTTTTGTTCGTTGTAAAACTGTGGCAGTTCCCCAAAGTATGGGTAATACTGGAATAACAAACCGCACAAATACGTATTTGGCAGGCCCATCACCGATCAGCCTTATGCATCATTGTTAATGCTCGAAATGGGAATGGAATTGTTCAGCATCCAAACCTCCATACAGCCACACATCTAGATTTCAAGTGAAAGACTGTTAGCTGTCCCTTTGCAGACACTGTCTCATCCCAATGAACATGCACAACAGAGACAAGAGTAAAAGGCTAAACAACCAAAGTCAACACACACGCACAGCTTTAACACGGCCAGAGTTACGAAACAGCCGCATAATGAAGTGACCGTGAAGTGACAGTGTGGAAAAACTGAGTATGAGAGCTGGAAAAGGTACGTAAAGGTTTGACTGAAAGTGTGAGACTGGGGTTAACACGGTGTACTGGATGTGAGAGTGTGTGTGGGAGTGAGTGTGTGAAAGGTCAGAGCTGTTGTTGCGAGTTAGCATGTGTCACGGCTAATCAGACCTCTGTGTCGTCTCCTTCGTAGGCCTCGTTGCCGTCTCCGCTGCCCTCGTTACTGTCCTCTCCTTCCTCCACCATCTCTCCGTCGTCTTCCTCCTCGTCCTCTTCCTCCTCGTCCTCTTCATCTTCCTCCTCCTCTTCTTCCTCCTCCTCTTCGTAATCCTGCAGTTAGTTGGGTGCATTCATTAGTGGCATGAAACAGAGTCCTTTTAAAATTCTGATTGCAGTCTAATGTCACTATGCATATTGTATTTTAAAATGCTCAACAGAAACTCCCTACCTGCTCTTCTTCCTCTTCATCCTCATCTTCCTGTTCTTCCTCACTTTCTGTGTCTGTTACTATGACGATTACTTCGTGCAGCAGCGGTTCAGGGGTGCCACTTTGGGACAGGGTGACCTCTTGCTCCATCATGACGGACTGGGAGCCAGCACCCTCATCTCCTTCGTCCAGTTCTTGAAACTCCTCCGTCTGCAGGGCGGAACAATGGACACTATGAACACTATGAACAACATGCATTCCACTTAGGGCTGCTCGATTATGGCAAAAATCATAATCTCGATTATTTGGGTCAATAATTGTAATTGCGATTATTAAATGCGATTATTCATTGACTTTGAAAACATCCATTCATTGGAGAGAAAACATTTGAAGAGTATGTTTTTAACAGTTGATTACCCTGAACTTTAAGTATAATTCAACTGAAAAACCAAAAATAAAATAAAAATAAAAAATAATAGTTTTATTTCGATTACGTTGTTTTCGTAATCGTTGCAAGCCATAATCGTAATCGCGATTAAAATACGATTAATTGAGCAGCCCTAATTCCACTCATTTAAAACTGTCCGTTAAAAAAACAAAGAAAATGTTTTTCCAACCGTCCACCAGAAACAATGTTAAAATAACATTAGGACATACTAACAACATTATTACTATGCGATATTATTAAGGATGTCTTTGGGATGTGTTACTACGGCTACCTGGTTTGCTTCGGCACCGTCTTGACTGTCTGTTGGCACCTCAGCCTCAGCACTGTCCCCGGCCAGCACCTCCTCCTGTGAGAACACAAAACACTTCATGAGGCCATGACATCACTGTGCTAGTTTTCAGATGAATAAAAACAAAGAAAACATGCATTAAGATCTCTATATTTGACCCCCCCTTCTCACCTCAGGACCCACTATCTGGATGATGCGTAGCTTCTTAGGTATAGGAGCCCGGGAGGTATCCTCATGGGTGGAATCTGTGTCATTGAGCATGGTGGTGCTCTCCTCCTCCTCCCGAGGCCTCTTTGACATGGAGCTCCCTGGCGTTGCTGAAACTAGAGATAAGGCATGGATTTTGTTTAGATTTATCTCTACTGAGAATACAACTTTTTTTCTTTTCAAAAGCAGTAAAACAAACGTTAAACCGTTAACTCGGTGTGGCTCAGACTGGATTGCTGTACAGAAATGTGGGCCTGTAATCTATTTTATTCTGTTATCTGTAGCAATTATGGAAAATGGAATTAGTTTCCCATATTGTATGACAGTTCCAAAAAAGTGCATTTTCATAAACTTAATCAACATCACATTGAACTCTTGTCTCTCTCATCAAAATGTGTTTTTTCCCATCCTACTATCTACATGAAATACGTCAAATTATAAATACTATTCCAAATCAAGCTACAATCAGCACAATTTAAAAGAAAGTACGGTTTCTCACCAGTCCCAAACACAGAGGAGCTGGAGGACGTTGAAGGCCATTCCACCTGCGAGCTAGGTGTTGCCTCGATGACCACGGGTAGTGGCTCCTGATTGGCTGGCTCTGCATGGCTCACGCTTTGTTGTTGAGTTGGTTGGACAAAGGCTGTGGCCTGCGTCTGGGTCTGCTGCACATTCAGCATGGGGCTCGCTAAGGTGGTCTGAACGTTGGGGCTGGAGGAGCGCACCGAGCCGCTGGCGCTGCCGTACACCGTCACATGCTCCACCGGGGGGCCCTCGCTACTCTGCATGGCTGTAGAGGAATTACATTAGTGGGAAACATAATTTACTTTTCAAAATTGGATTAAACAAACTCACAGGGAAAAGTCCTTTGTTAAGTTATGCATTTACAATTGTTGATGCTTGTCTTTATGGGCAATGTTACTTTGGTTATATTCCTACATTGGAAGCTTATGTCTTACCTTCCTGATTCTCCACCTGTGTGGTTGGCATGACAGTAGCCGTGGGTGTTGGCGTGGGCACAGTGGCTGGGGTAATCATGGGCCGGATGCTAGCTCTCGGAGTGGGTTTGTTCCCAGGATTGACAGGCTGCTTGCTGCCTGTCGCCACAGGTGTGGGCTTAATGTTGGCTGTTGGAGGCTCGGATGTGCTGGCACTGACAGACACAAAGATAAGGACATCAATTATGACTTTACTAATGTATGCATTTACATTTAAAAATAACAATTAAAAGCAGGTGCACTTCAGAGCATCCCAGAACTCCAACTGTGTTAATTTCTATACACTCATGCTGCACTGCAGGGGAAACGTATCATCAATTATCGGTTTTAAATGGTCATATCTTACCTGCCCCTGTCTGCCGCTGGGGTGGTCTTCAGACTGATCTGTCTCTGTTCTGTGCTCCTCTGCTGTTCCTGGGTCTAAATAATCAGAACAGAAGGGCAAAAGTAATGATGGAAACCAACAAGGAGCAGATGTACAATACAGTATTTTCACAAAATGTGCAACAATGTCACTTGATATGCTGCCCTGGTAAAGAAAAAAAGACGCTGCTGGTTCCACTTCTATTCTTGACAACCTGTTTTTAGCATTGGCCTGCATTTGTTAAGAGAAATGCTGTTATAAGTCAAATATGTTTGTTTGTAGGAACCTGCATTAAATCATGACTGAATGTTTCCCAAACACTAGGGAGTAAAACATTTATCCAACAGCAAGATTGTCTCAACAGTATCTGCTCTGCTGTTTTAGTACTTCCCGTTAAATCAAAATAAATTGTGAGAGCGTACCTTGCTGGGCCCCGCCTCGGCCGGCTCGTCTCTCTGCTCCTGTCTCTCCTGTTGGCCTCGCAGGTCTCTCAGCTCTCTCTCCTGTCGACTCAGGCGGCCCTCGTATTGAGACTTGAGAGCGCTCACTCGCACCTCCAGCTCCTCACGCTGTTGCTTCAGTTCCTCATTTTCCTTCTGAAGCTGGTCTTTGGAGTCTGGACGTAAATCATTTGGGTCTGAGATTCAAAGTAACTAAACAAGCAACACTAGAATAGTGGCAAATATAAAGAGGAATCTATAAATTAAGGAAATGTTCATGGTTGTAATAAGAGGAACACCCTCTCACTTGTGAGATGGTTGATCTTCTGCTTGGCATAAACGATGGCCTTCCTGGTCTTGTCCTCCTTCTCAGTCATCTGCTGCCTCAGCGTTTCCTCCTGAGTGGATTTATCCTGCAGCTCCTGCCTCAGCCTGGTCAGCTCTGCCTGCAGCCTGGAGGCCTGTTCCTGGGCGTTTCGCCCTTCAGTCTCACGCTCCGTAACCACCTGAGGCCGGACAGAAAGACAAGATAGTAATGAATGTGTGCATGTTGAAAAGACAAGCGTATCGGGGGGTGTCTACAACCAAAATGTTGTTTTACAGGGCCGATACCAAAAAGTTATAAAGAAGGCCGAAACCAATTTACATTTGCAGTAAAATTGAAAAAGAGACCAAAAACTCCAACACAAGAAGTAGTCTAGATTAGTTTGAGAAGATGTTTAAAGCTGCAGAACACTTTTACAGCACTGCACTTTTTTTTACTTCAACAGAAAAATAGCAACTTGGATGATAATCAAATTTGACAACTGATTTTTGTTCGATCCTAAGTACTTTGTTAATTATGTTAAATATACCAGCTATAAGCAGTCAGCAAACAAACTGATAACAGTGAATGATAAGCATGGCCTCCAACTCTGACAGTTGTCTTCTTTAGTCTTTAAACTTCAGAATGGACAGTTCTTTTAAAAAGGTATGCTGAAACTTCTGGGTTAACCTTGTTGATGTTCTCCAGCTGCCCCTCTAGCTCTTTGGTCTTTGCTTCAGCCTGGCTCAGAGAGTCTCTGAGGCTCTGCAGCTCCTGAACCGAGGCCTGACGAGCCTCCTCTTCTTGGGATGGGCCTGCTGCCGCCTCAGCCACCAACTAGAGAAAACACAGTATGAAAGATAAATGAGTATGCTCACATAAGGGTGTGTTTTAGACAAAAATGGGTTGAAACAAACGGTACAACCATGACCTTTTTGTTTAAACCTTTGGATTACAGATAGAGGCAGTGAGATTAAGAAATACCGAGTGCTCACCTTGTCATGTTCCACCTTGAGTTCATCATACTGAGTCTTGTAGCGACGTCCAATTTTCTTGACCTGAGTGATAGTTCGCACTTTCTCCAGGAGTTCCTGGTTCTTGGCTTCATTTATTTTACTCATATTGTCACGCAAATTCTGTATCTGGCTTTGCAGAGACACTGTGAGAGTATTCGTCCTATAAAAGAGAAATTGCAACAACAAATTGTTAAGTGGCAAAAAAATGACTGGTAGGGTTGAATAATTTGGACAAGGTAAACACTTCGTTCAATAGCTGCATCGTGATACAGTGTCTTACCTGGCAACCTCTACTTTGAGTCGGGTACTCTCCTCAGTGAGCTGCTGAATGCGTTTCAGATGTACCTCCTTCTCCGAGTGCAGACGCTTGTACTCTTCTGGATCCGAATCCTTTTGCTGGCTCACCAAATGCTAAGAGAACGATTGACAAGATAGTAATTAGAAGAGAATCTACTCTCCAAAGAAGGATATATTTCTCCCCTTCTTACATGCATCATTTACAGCCTTTCTCCTTCTTGTCTTTTCACTGACCTGGGTCCGAGCTTTCCAGCGCTTGATGTCCTCTTCCAGTATCTTTTTCTCCGCCTGCAGCATGCCACTCTTCTCGCTCAGCTCAGAGTTGGCCTGCTGTAGTGGCATGATGTCTGACTGCAGCTTTTGTAACTGAAACACAGAAAGATCAGTTGAAACAGTTGGAGTTTCACTCAGGTGTTCAAAAGTTTGCAATTGAATACAAAATGTAAACAATACTTTTGCTTGAGTTTGTTGAAGTTCCAGCTCCATCTTGTTCTTCTCCTCTCTCAGCATCTTGTTGGTCTCCATCAGGATGCTCATAGTTTCAGTTTTCTTCATCAGCTCATCGTGCTGCGCCAGGGTCTTCGCTGTGACCTGAGTAAGATTAGAGTTGGGTTTAAGATACAGGTTGTATTTCTATCTCACATTTGCGTGGCCAGGTTAGACACAGGTCTCGTGTATTTTAAAGAAAACGGACCAATACAATGTCCTAAAAGAGATATTCTCATTCTTGCGATTAAAAACACGAATTGTCTGGCAAAGAAAAGTAAAACAAGATATTTTAGGGGAAAGGAGTGTCAGTGAGATCACAAACAGACCTGCATCCTCTCCTTTGCGGCACTCAAGCTGTCCTGCATCTCCTTCAGCTCTCGTTCCAGGTGCTCCACCCTCAGGCGGTGACGCAAGGTCTCCCCTTGGGCGACCTCAAAACGAGACTCTGCAATCTCCTTCTCCCGACGCACAAACCTGGGAGAGAGCACAAATTGAGAAGAGAAGAACAACATCAGAATAATAGCCTTTGCATGGCATAATAGCAATGTCCGAACTCTATGCTTTATTTGTTTTTCCTTTTTATGTTGATTCTAAAATCACAACACAGATTCGCGAGGTGCATTACCTGAGAATCTCAAGGACTTGGTCTTGAGATTTGCCCTCCTCAGTCAGGGAGATGTTCATGGGACTCTCATTCATAGCACGTTGCAGAGTGTCGGCCATCTTCCTGCTCATGGTCTGGATCTGCTCATGCAGGAGAGTGTTCTGCTTCTGCAACTCATCGTGACGGCTCTCCATCTTCGCCATCTCCTCCTGTAATAAGCGCAAAGAGATGAAGAATGAAAATGTAACGGCCAATTTCTAATACTAATATGTGGTGGAGCAAAAAGCATGGCCCCTAAAACTAAGATGAAATCAAACTGCCCTGAAATAAATGTTTTAGGTGGGCTTATTAAATAAAAAATAATTGGAGACTATGCAATAGATGTCCCTTTGATTTTGTCTTATCCGGTCTGGTCGTCACCTTGATGATCTTTTCCTGCTCCTCCCAGGAGACCCTGGCCTCCAGCAGCTCAGCACCGACCCTCTGGGATCTCTCGTCCAGCTGCAGGCGGAGCTCCACGGCCTGCAGGGCCTGAGCCTTAGCGGTCTGCAGAGCCTCCACGTCGGCCGCATGCAGCAACATCTCCTGCTCATACTTGTCTTGCGCTTCGGCTGCCAGCTTAGCCTTGGAAATGGAGGATTTGAGTTCATCATTGCATGTTATATCATCTTGTTGCAGTTGTAATTGCTGTGCATTAGAAAATGTAGATGCACTATCGGGTGGAAAAAGCTAAAATCTCTTCAAAACTCAATAGGTGGTGCTGCAACGTGCTGAACCAAAAAGGCTCTTCACTAACAGACGCAGAAAAATAAGACCAATACAGATTTAAAGGTTTGAGGGAATACAACATGATGTAAAGAATTCCTGCTTTTAAATTATAGTTATAGTACAAAGTTTATGAAATCATCTTATGTCAAATGTATGGGTAAAATGTAGGCATGAGAAGATGTGGTTGACTTAAGACAGTTTCTAAACATATTTGAGAAAAGAAAGTCTCATATTGGTCATATGGAGAACTATTAACGAAGCACTTTTATACTAATAAAGGACTGGCTTACCTAAAGCCAGTTGAGTAGCACTTGAAATGTTTGGCTCTATGAAACCTGATGTACTTATATGATTCTGTTTTCTTCAAGGTTGTGTCTTCCTGGTCGAATGTACTTATTGTAAGTCGCTTTGGATAAAAGCGTCAGCTAAATGCAATGTAATGTAATATTCCTTCCTGTTCATCTTCTAATTGCTTCTTACCTGCTCCAGGCTGTCTTGCAGAGCTTGTTGCTGCTGAGCTTCGGCTACAGCCACACGCTGCAGCACCGCCTGGTGCTCAGCCTGGGCACTGCTGAGACTCCTCCTGAGACTCTCCATCTAACAAACACAAAAGAAAACTGAAAATGACCGGTATTCTTTGCATAATGTGAATATAACTGATCACCAAAAAGTGCCAGGAGGATCAAACGTAGTGACGGAAGACTTAATGTGAACAGCTGTTTTGTTTTTTTTAATCTGTAGCATTGAGACTTAGTTTGTGTCAAATGTGCTAATGATATGAGATTGTGTATATACCTGCTCCTCCAGAGAGGCCAGGGCTCTTCTCTTCTGGTCCTCTGAATTTTGTTTCTCTTTCTCCGCCTCCAGAAGTTTCTCCTCCAGCTTTTGGTGCTGCTTCTCAGCCTCCATCAAACGGGTTTCGATGGACGAGCGTGCCTGCTCTGTCACCTGGTCATTAGGCATGAACACATTTTAAATGTTATAAAGAATATCTGCTTGTCAACACATTTTTAAACAAACTGAGTGCGTACAGTGTGCAAAAATGTTGTCTTAATATATAAATTATTTTTATATTTGTGCCAGAGCATTACCTATAGATTTGCTTCCCATGAAATTGCCCTCACAATTATTTATACATAAATGATATGTAAATCTTCAAAGTGTTTTTGCTGTGGGTGTGGTCAATGGTTTGAGGAGATGTGGAACACTGACAGGCTCTCTGTTTATTGTGTACCTTTTTCTCTTTGTCCAGGGATTCCTCCATGCTCTGAGCCATGGCTCTGTACTGCTCCATGCTGGAGGTGGCGGCCCTGAGGCTCTCTGCCAGCTCCTCTGCTTGGGTTTCAGCCAGCCGCAGGCGGCCCTCTAGCTCCTCCCGGTCTTGATCTGAACCTGGTAAGCCTGAAGACAGGAAGGATCAGAGACAGACGTGTTTGACCGCAGCATCACGAGAAACAGCACAATACTAGGGGGCTTGTGCCTTAAACACACTAACTACAACAACAACAAAAGTGTGGCTCAGATGTTTTATAATGACTACAAATGTGTCTCTTTTATTTTTGTACTGGATCCCATCTAAACAATAGTGAGACCATACCATCCTTGCAGTAAAAAAGGAGGTCAAGTTTAAAACTTGGTAATTTCACTACAACAATCAACAGTGCCTTTAAATGCAAAAACTAACATGTAAAAGATGATTGTCGAGCACAATAATTACACAAAAAGTGACTTAATTCGAAGCCATTAACAATTAGGCTTCCAATGATGTTGACATTTGGCTTAAATCTTACTGGTCATGGGATTTTATTACAACCGTATTGATTCCCCCCTGTATTGTGCTGTTGCGGAAATATTCCTGTATGTGTGTGTTTGTGCCAACCTCTGAGAACAGGCGTGGATGGGGAGCTCAGGGAGTGACGTACTTCGCTGCTGCCGAGTTGCATTCTGAGGGTTTTGAGCTCAAACTCTGCAGCATTCAGCAGCTCTTTGGTCTTCTGGTGTAACGGAGCCTGTATCTCCAGCTGCCTCTTTGCGTCCATCAGATGGATCTGTGCATGAGGGACGAGCGACATGGAGAAATAAGTAAACTATTTAATTTTGCCATTTGTATCTGGTTTGACAGTTGTTGGTTTTTTATTTGTAAAGGGTGTGTGTTCAAGATTAAAACAGGCTGCAAGTTGTTCCTTAAACACAGTAACAATACTCATTTATCAGTACACCTTAAAACATCTAAATGACTAAGGCAGATATTGTTAGTTCGTATTTCAGCAGACCACAGCCTTTCAATGGAATCCTTACCTCCTGGTTTCTGCTGAGCAGGTGGCGCTGTTCCACCTCGCTCTCCAGCCTCTTCTGCAGCTGGGAGATCTCTCGTTCCTGCTTCTCCAACTGGTCACTCAAACGCTGACGTGTATCAGTCTCTGAACGCTCAAGAGTGGCCTGGAAGCACACAGAACTTTACATTTTGGACTTTGTGTGTGTTTGAGACAATAAGTGACATTTCATACTTCTATAATACCTGAATGGCATGGAGGTTGGTCATCAGCATGTTCTGGCTCTGTTGTTGGCTCTGCAGTGACTCCTTCTGCTGATTCAGCCTGGACTCCACCAGTTTCAGCATGTCTCTCTCCTTACGCATGCTCTGAGCATGGCCCTGAAATTAGAGGGAGAGAATTCTCGATGGTTTTATAATTCCCCCAATAATGTTGAACACATAAAAGGTTGCTGGAAAAAAAGACAAACCTCAGCCATGGATAGTTTCTCTTTGGCAGCTCTCAAATCCTCATTCAAAGAGTGTATGGTCTGCTCGTGCTTCTGTGCGGCAGCAGCCGTCTTCTGTTCTCTCTCTCTGAGGGAAGCAATCTCTTTCCTGTAGCGCTCAACATTGTCCTGCAGCATCTCATACCTGATATATTGAGAAATACATTGTTTTTAGTGCTGTCTTTTGCATTATTTATACAAAATTATTGTTGAGTAAAATAGATTTTTTTTGTTCAAACTAACTTACCGCTTTGAGGCAAACTCCAGCTGAGTGGATATCTTAGCATTCTGGGAGTGGAGGTCGGAGAGCTGCTCCTGGAGCTTCTCGCCCTGCCCAGTCACTAACTTGTCACTCTCCATGCGCTCCTTCTTATAGGTGGAGAACACCTCCTGCAACTACAGAGCCAACCAGACACCTTTACTTTAACTCAGCAGAGTGTAATAGTTGTCGAATAAATATTCATTGGGGAAAAATGCACGTTACACCGGCCTTTAACCTATTCATATAGGACTGCTAGCAAAGACAAAGTGCATCAGTAAAAGGAAATCGGGGTCTCCAACTGCGGTTTTATAACACTGCTAATCCACTGAATTACATTATCTGATGATTTGCTTTCAGTAGGTGACAATGTCCATAAATGCTGATCCACAAATAGCTTAGCTATGTTCAATGATAAAGATACAGCAGAAGCTAGCTGTGTAAAGACTGTTGCATTGTTACAATTATTAAAAATAGGGATGCGTTTGCTCACCTGACGCAAAGCTGCCTTGGCTTCTAAGGCTTCAGTAGAATCTGTTGTCATGGATACAAGTGCAGTGGGTGTTCCTGAGGTGGGAATGGCTGCTGGTGAGCGTCCGGGGGTGGAGGTCAGGGAGAAATCCTCAGGTGGTGTGCCTTTAGGAAAACACTCAGAAGTTCATCAAAATAGAAAAACATCTTCACAACACTTTATCAGCCTTTGCCATCCGACAAAAATTGTACTTTTATTTGCCTTGAACCAACATTGTAACAGTAAATTGCTATGTACTAGTGTTGTCACGATACCAACATTTTGGTTTCGATACCAAGTCAAGAATTGTGATTCCGATTCTTTTATTATTTTCATGATCAATAAAATTGTAGTTTATCTGTTAAGTGTTTTCTTACAACATGTACTCTTCTTTATACTTGAGTTTATGTGATTTCTTTGATAGTTAACTTTATATTTTATTAACATGTAATAGTATAGTAATATAAATAATTATTGACAAAATGTACATTGCAGATGTTAGCCACATTGGTAAGTTAGCTAAAAAGATAGCCATATTAGACAGTTATCATTGCCATTAATTGCCTCGTCAAACTACGAAAACGTTCGTTTGTCACAAAATAAATTACACTTGTTTGACTTAGATTTGAAGGCATGGGCTTGAGCATGATGTAATTATGTTATCTATCACATTCGCTAACCTGTCTGTCTTTACATTCTTTAAACAGCTCTGGATGCCGGTCGGCGAGGTGCTTAGCCAAGTCTGATGTGTTGGCTCCCTTGGTTTGCAGGGATCTAAAACATGTCTTACAGACAGGCCCTCACTGTCAGAGATATAGCTCAAATACTTCCAAATTTCGCTTCTGGCGTCTTTTTTATCAACAAGCCGAGGCGCAGCGGCAGTTGCACTCCCACTTGCAGCCATGCTTCTCGTTTTCTCACATGCTCTGGCAGCTAGCGCGTGCATGAGAGAGGGGAGGGATTAAAACAGCGCTTTCTCACCGGAGTACTTTTCCCCGTCATTCTTAAAGTACCGATACTAATGAAACGGAGGATTCTTAACGTTTTTAACGGCAGGGTATCACGGTACCTTTCAAGTATCGGTACACCGTGCAACACTACTATGTACAGGATGTATCGTCAAGTATATCACTTGGTGTATCTCTGACCTTGCTGAGGGAAGCTGACTCCTGTTGCCTGAGCCAGCAGCACACGGTACATGTCCCTCTGCCTCACGATGGACTCAGTCATCTTTATCTGTTGGCCGCGTTGCTCCCTCAGAGACTCCAGCTCTACCTGGGCTTTACCCAAACTCTGCTCCAGTTCACCACGCCTGTAACAGATCATCTTTCTTAGCCTTAGCCCAGTCCTAAGCACTCTTGATCTTAAGCATTCCTTTTCCCCACATTTGATCAGTAGCAAGACATTACCAAAAAAAATCAGTTACCTAACCCTCACTTCTGTGAGTTGATTGCAAGAAACAAAAATAAATCAGTACAGTGTTACGTACTTGCTGCCAGAGGTCTCAATCTCCTCTTTCTCCTGGGCCTCACTGAGCTCCCTGAGGGCCACCAGAAGACGCTGGTTTTGCTTCTGCAGCTCCTCCACACCGCGGAAGGTCACCAAGTGTTGGCTGATCACTTCTGATGTGCTGCTGACATCAGCTGAGCTCCCATCGTCCTCATGAGGCACATAGTTTCCACGAGCCTCTTCCAGCTCGATGAGCAGCACACGCACCTAGAAGAAAAGATCAAGACAGGCAAGACAATAAGGTATTGGAGAAATATGATATTATAAAATGCATGCAAAATAACTGGGAGAAGAGAGTAAGAACCCACTTGCTGAGCCATGTCTCCTAGCTGCAGTTCAAATCTCTGGTTGTCTCTTTCCAGAACAGATGAGCGTTTGTTAGCTTCATCGGCTTCCTTCTGCAGACGGTGAACTTCCTGTAAAACAAAAAAAAAATATCGTGTTATGGGCAGAAGGTATGATGTGAGGCAGTCACAGTGTATCATTTACTTTACTCACCATAACAGCGTGCTCCAGCTTAGCAGAAAGGCTTGCCACCGACTTTTGCATGCGCTCATGTTCATCCCTCTGCCGTTTGAGGATAGGGGCTTTGGCTTCCACTTCCTGCACAATGTCATCCAGGTACTTGTTGACCCGCTTGTTCTCCAATCGCTCCAGCTGCAGATGCTCCTGGCTCTCCAAATATGCTGTATACAACTGAAAATGCAGATGGCATCGAAGTAAGTAAAAATGACCAGTAAATACAAATAAGCTCAACGCTTTCATTGTAAAAATAATCTATAGAATAAACAACATGCATTAGTATTTGAAATCTATTGTGGTAGTTTATTGTACCTAAATTATTCCCAGACCTATTTCCAAATTCTAAATATTAATAAAATAAGGTGGTATTTGAATTTAGTATCACATACCTCTGTCAGCCTCATGCCAGGCTTGATTTTGGACACAGCAGCTGCTGTTGGAGACATTGTTGAAAGCTGTGCTTCTGTTATCACAGATGCTGAACTAATAGGACCTGGGCAATCAAAAAGTACAGGAGAGATCACAGGTCATTTAAAGAAATCCCCTACAAGGCATGATTTTTGCTTATTTTAAATTCAACCAAGTACAGCAATCAACCCAACAAACCTCTAAGTGTGGAACTTGATAGCAGCTCGTTGGTATTGTCCAGCTCTTTCTCGAGAACCTGGATCCTCTCATTTAGCTCAGCAACACTCTTGTCTGTGGCACCATTCATATCCTGCAACTTCTCCTCAAGAGCCTGGTTGGCTGTGGCAGAAAGTGAACAGTGAGTCAATGTCAGGGAATACCAACTGGAAGTTAAATTAAAAGATAAACCATTAAGCTTAACAAAAAATGTAAACTCTCCATCTCAGTAGACGGCAAATCCTAAATAATGTGATAATTATTTTAAAGCTTTGCACCTTCTCCAGCATCCTTCAGGAGTTTATGCAGTTCCTCCACTGCCAGAGTCAGCTCGTCACTTTTTGCCTCAGAATCCGCTGCTGCTCCCTGTCACCACAACATGAGGGTAAGAGTTGGCAAAAATAATGCTAAAGTGTAAACCATATTGTTCATGGTTAATATAAAGCCTGCTAATATAACCACAGGTGAAAGAAATATGCAACCCTTTTTGTTTAAAGCACTTTGTTTCATGTGAAAAAATAAGCAATGTTTTGTACAAACAAATCAGCAATAAGACATAATGTGTGCTGAATTCATCTGGAAATTAGAAATAGTGACACTCCATGGACGTTAACTGAAGTTAATCACCGATAGTAAAGGCCTTGGTGTTACAAAAGCCCAAGCCAGGTCAGCTTGCTGTCATGCGTATACATACCTTGTATAGATTGGAAAGTTTAATGTTGGCATTCAGCTCATTTCTGTACTTTTCCTCCATGGTGGCTTGTTGTTCCTTGGCCTAGAAAAAGCAAAGATCCAGTCAAACAATTAAACATGATTAAAGAGCGCAACAATACTGGTCAGTTTGTCGCAGAACATACAGAATGACAAAAACGGAATTCCTGTTTCTCTGTAAATATAAGACCGGATTAAATCTAGCCTGTAGGAAATACCATACACATACTTCTCTTAGTTTGCTGATCATGTCCTCGTTCTGTTTCTGAAGTTGTTCATTTGAAGACTTCAAACTGGCCACTTGGTCTTTGAGTCTATTCAACTGAAAGCCACAAGCAAAACAATGTATTTAGTAATGACCATAAGAGTTAAAATGCTTAAATTAACACAGGGGCAGTAACTTTGTTACATATTTTTTAATGTAGGTACACAACTATTGGTCAATAGTTGGTAAATCCCACCCAGATCTATGTGTAATGTGTTGTGATTTGGAACAAATGGCAAACTCTCAAGCCAACTTTATCATTGTATTTGTTGTCTTCATGTCATTCAGCTTTATAAACATTTCATGTAAATAGAAAGAGACATGCCTCATCTTCCTTGTTCTCCAGGTTGCACTTCAGCTCCAGGATGTCGTTTCCCTTCTGTCGGGATAGGGACAGCAGTTCCTCACTCTTAGCCTTCAATTCCCCATTCAGCCAAGATGTTTGGCCATTCAGCAGCAGCTTCTCTTGTTCCATACGCTTCTCCTTGTACTGTCATGACAAAACACCACAACATTTTTCACTTATAGGTTTTGTTTAAACTAATAGATGTTCAAAAAGCCACTTCTTCAGACAAATTTGATGTGAAGATATTATTTACACACAGCAAATAACTTACTTTGATGTTGACTTCAGCCGATTCAAGTTCATCCAACTTCATCTGCAGCGCCATCTTGGAGGTGTTGACCTCAGCCAACTTATCATTGAGTTGCCTGAAGTCATCTGATGGGCACATTTGGTACAATGTTAAAGTGAAGGTTAGTATTTACGGACATAAATGAAAGTTTTGACAAGTTTCTCTAGACTAATTCATCTGTCAAACCATACCATTGAAATGCTCCACTTGTAAGGATCTCTTCTCCAGTGTCCTCAAAAGCTCACGCTTTTCTGCCTCCAATTCCTCTTTGGCTTTTGACAGCAAAGTCTAAGAAACAAGAAGCATTTTTCAACCACTGTGTGTCACTTAAAATGTATATCTGTAGTTTTGGTGACATTGAATGAGAAAAGTGTAGACAAACAATGACTTTACCACAAAACTAATTCTAACAAGCAAGCATCACAACATTTGTTGTAGTTCATGAGAGAAATAAAAGTCAAAAATTAAGAAACATATTATAACCAACCAGGTATGTGAGAAAAACATGGCTGTGTTTGTTTGGCTTACCTGCTCTGATGACAGCCTCTCTTGCGAAGATTCATATTCCCTGTTCTTCTCACGCAAGCTTTTAACATCTTCCACTACAAGTGGAGATTTGAAAAAAACCCAAATGATAAAGTCATTCAAAAGAAACAAGACAAGTTAAATCTGTATTGCAACAGGAAGAGGTGGAGGAATTACTAAGATGATTTACTTTAATAAAAGCAGCAATACTGCAGGTGTACAAATACTCAAGTAAAAGTCTTGCATTAAAAATGTTACTAAAGTAAAAGTAGAAAGATATTAGCATTAAAAATGACTTAAAGTACCAAAAGGAAAAGTACCCGTTATGCAAACTAGATATTTTTAAAAGTATTTAATGTATACACTACTGGGTAGCTTAACCTATAATAATATAATGTGTGTCAAGTTTTTTTTGTACCAATGACCCTATATATGCTTAGTAACAAGTAACTAAAGTAAAAATAAGTAAAAGTGTAAAGTAGTATGATGTGGAAATACACAAGTAAAGTAAAAACCTCAAATTCTTACTTAAGTGCAGTACTTGTACTCAGTAAATGTGCTCAGTTACATTACTGTACACCACTGGCCATAAGTTCACTCTTACCTTGCTTGGCAAACTCATCTTTGAGTTTAAGATGTTCTTGAGTCGTGGATAAACATTTTTCTTGGCACTGAGCAAGTTGTTTAACTTTTTCGAAGAAGTGTTGCTCTGTAATGAGGGAGCAAAAGCACGAAACGTTAAACCGTTATTTACTGTTCTATGCCATGTTGACGTTAGCTAAGTAGGTTAGCCAACGCTAGCATTAGCATCTAATTGTAGTAACTGATAACTGGCCGTATTGTATTTGCATAGCGTTGTTTATATATTCCCAAAGCCGTTGATAAACATACAAGTAAACGGCATGGTGTCAATGTGTTAGTAGGCTAAGTTCAAACCAATAACTTCAACTTTCATCAGACCAGGTGTGCATGATGAGCACACTACAGAACACTCGCACCGCTAGCTAACACCAGGCAAACCCTTACCGCTGTCAACTCGAAACTGTTCTTGTTGCGCTTTCAAAGAATCGATTTCATACTGCTGATCCGAAAAAACCTTCTCGAGCTTGTTTTGAACCGTTTTTGGTAGCTTTGAAATCTCAGAGGGTTCCAACTCCTGCAGCAGCAGTGCCGCCATTTTTCCTACAACAACAGTACGAGCAGCCGCAGTGTGCGAGTTCAGTTTGACTTCTCCTTCTTCTCCTTCTTCCTGCTTTTGGGTTTTATGCCGGTGGGCATTAACGCCACCTACTGTGTTGGAGTGTGCACCACAATTATATATCCCCTTTATAAATAATAACAAAATAAGATATCACTTAACATTACATTATTTTGATGAGCTTAGATTCTTTCAAATATTGTAATAGACACTCCAACCAAATGTTGATACACGTTAAGACTCAGTTATTCGAGCCAAAGCTCCCTGATTGCTCTTTCCCTTTAATATTTCCTTTTTCTCTATAGGCCTACTGTCTTTTGGCAGGGAAAAATGACATGCTCCACTGATTTATCGCCCGTACATAATACCCTCTATTCAGATGCTCTCTTCTTTGGTGCACCTTTTAGCTTTCATCACTCGGCCAACTTCTCGCTGTAATGCATTAACATCCTGTGTTTCCAGTATCCCAAATGTGCGGCCACTCCAAATGACATTTATTTTGATTATTGCGTTTGCTTCAGATTTAGGCCTACTTAGTTTAATGTCCAGTATCTCCTAATCTTTTAGAGTCTGTTAGTTGATGCATCCACTATTTATTTTCCTCCATCCCTTTGTGAGATTAATCAATTTGTTTGTCCACATAAATGTTCTCAACATATGAATATTTCTATATCTGTACAGTTTCCTGCATTAACAATACCCATCCTACTACGAGATGTAAATGATTTTGATTAAATCAATACAGAACAGAAAATCCATTAAAAGAATAATCGTTTTAATTTTATATTATAACTCTTCTGTTCTGTCCACTGTAATGCTGTTGCTTTTGTCATCATCTCAACTGCATATGATCTGATGTTTTTCTTTCAACCAAAACATGTAAGGCTGGTATTCTATCAAAATCTGTGCTCACTCTATCCTCTATGGAGCATTATTGGATTTGTATTTTTGTAGCCTACGCTCAATAGAAATTCGCATAGCCCCTTTTTGAGATACCTTGCAAATGCACTTCTGTTAAGTTGTGTTGTAACTTACACAATTGTATAGTTGTCAATAGCAACAATTGAATATAATGGAGGATTATTTGTCCTGTTTATTGCTCTTTCGTGCTGAATGCTTGGTCAAATATGGTCACCAGATGGCACCCACGCTCTTTATGTGCAGGCCTGTATTGGCCAGTATCAGTATGTGCATGTGTGCATGCCTGTGTGTCACATAAGGATGTAATATTTAAGCATGTCTAAGGATAGAGGGTGTCGTTTTTTCTCATACTGATATTCTGAACAATCTGTGCTGTTGTATTAGCTGTAAAGTGTCTCTACTGTAGGCTATTTTATTATATGTACAGCACTTTGGCTCGACCAAAAATCATTTATAAATGTGCTATATAAATAAAACTTGATTTGATTTCTTTTGGAGAACTTGTGCACTTCTGGAAAGTCCATGGATGACCAAGAAGTTTGACCTCTTGCAGTTAGTAATAACAAGGTGCCAAATATAAAACAGCCCAGAGCAAAACACAGTGACAAACTTCTCAATCCATTTTCCATTCGCGGAGCATTCCCTAAAATGCAATCAAAAAGGTCAAGATGGTGATGTTGTTGATGATGAAGATTTTAGAAATCGGGCAGTAGTTGCCACAGAGCTTGTGTCCTTGGGATATTTAATTACACAAAGAAGAGTTTACATTTTATAATCACACACACTATAATGGAGGCTGTTCTTTTAAAAACATACACAAATGTTAAATCAGAGAATTATTTTAGATTTTTTAAAAGAGGTTTTTGAAGAGTGAATGTTTACATTTCATCAAATATGTTTTTCCTTTATGTGAACAGCTACATTACATATGTAATATCATATAACTGTGTCTCTGGTGACTTATATCTGGAAGGTATGGAGTCCCTGTCTGGACCAGTTTTGACAAATACCTCAGTGGTTTATCGGTTCATAAACACTTCTAAGAAAACAAAAGACTGATGGCACGAACACATGAACTGTTAAAGCGAATGTTTGCTCCAGGCAGAAGAACTATTTTTATTACACTTAACTGTCACGCCCGGATACCGAGATGTACAGTAACCTATAGCAACATCGCTCTCCAAACTTCTTAATCTGAGTTGATCATGTTGGTGGTTGTCAGTACTTGTCATGAGAGGGAAACCCAGCAGAATGGACACAGGCACCCTTCAATCTGTGTCTCATGCAGTTAAGGTGTGAATCATGCTGACAAGTGTCTCAAACATTGACAAACAAATGCAGTGACCTCTTACCTACACTACTGTGTAACACAAATTCAAGTAAAATGTGTCAAGTGTCATGATTTAGACTGATTTTGAGATTTGGAACTTCCCCTTTATCCTTCCCCCATCCCTTCATTAACCCATGTAACTATTTCATTCATTCAAACAATTCGTAAAGCCTAGCGTGACAAACAGCGGAAGGACAAGCCCAAAGGTGGACTGTGGTGTGGGGGTGGCATGTTTATGTGTAATTTATTCTCTGAGACAGTTACAGCTGTGCTCCTCATCCTCTAACCCTGATTCTTATCTCCTGCATTCTTCCTCACGTTATTTTTAGCTTTTTACTCACTATCCATTTATTGAAAGAATAACATGATAGTGTTCTGTGTTGATGTGTAGTGGTTGCATTGTATCAACTAGTTTCACTCAAGTAGATGTTTGTTTCTTTAAAATGCGTCCAAGTTGAATCTCATCAGGAGTAAATTAGTCATAGGATAACATTTACATCACCACTTTATCATTGAAAATAATGAGTCACAGGGAACTTAAAAATATCTAAACAAAGTTATTTAAAATAGGTTTACATTTAGGATGACAGCCAGTGAGCACCGTTTGTGGTTGTGTCATCTCGCCCACATCCGTTGTCCAAATTTGGTCTCAGGGGAACCAACACGCCACAAACAAGGTCTCCACTGCCGTGTCATTTCATCTCTCAGTAAAATTGTGTTTTATGTGGGTGAACTAGAGCGTAATAGCCTGGCTTTCCAAGAGTCCAAACAAAAAATAACAAAAGTTGTCTAATTAGCGGATCAGTGTAAACAAAGGGAGAATCAAAACGTCAGAAATGGGGGCGGATCATGTGCTCATTTCAGGGGTAAACAATTAGGTAAAATTAGTTTGAGGGGAGAGATGAGTCAATTCATGCTCTTTGGCCTCTTCCAAGAAGCAATTCATTTGGTAAATACTGCGTTGAACATCAAATAACCTAAAACCTGGATAATGCAAAAACTGTTGTGAATTTTGATTTACAAAGCTACCCAGATAACTCAGTGAACCTGCATGGTAAAAGAGGCCAATGCAAATGTATATTCTTCAAAATATTGACGCACGTAAGCCTACTCACCTTAATGGTTTATTGTTTATTCTGAGTTTACAGATGAGTAATCTTGTTTTGAAGTGAATCTTCTCTCAACCCTTGCTTGGACTCTCGTGGCTTTTGTTGCACTCACTGAACTGTAATCCTGTTGGAAGATTACCAGACATACAGTAATGTACAACTCTGCGAAGTTAACATTGTTGGCCAGTGGCAGCACACAAAGTTGTTTTGGCTAGTTGGCTGCAACTCTTGCATGTGGTTTGGTCAGCAGCACCCAGTCTAGCTGACATGTTTGGGCACCTAAAAGTTCCTGAGGGAGGTATCCAAAAGGTTTTGATAAATGTTAGGCACGCTACTGTAAGAAAATTAGGTCTTACCAGCTAGAGCAGGGGTGGCCAACCAGTCAGAGGTTAAGAGCCAATTTTTTTCTATTTTACTGCAAAGAGCCACATCAAACACACAGTCACTGATACCGCTTGTTTCAGTTTTTTGTTTTCTGGAGACAAGATTTCAACCACGTCACTGATGCATTTTTGTGGCATTGGGATATATATTTTTCAAATCCTCTGGAGCAGAGAGAGGAGCTGTGGATTATTGGTATTGATTAATGCATCAGTGTTTCTTAGGGTCAAAAACACTAAACTCACAACTTAAAATGAAAGCGTTTAGTTTATTTAATAAAAGAGCACATGTTAAATGTGAAAAGTGACAGTAGTTATAGATTATTTGCAATTTGGTGCTATGTATATATTAAAAAATAATAATAATTATATATATTTTTTAAACACCTTGAATTCCAGGGGGGGCGCGGGGCTCCGTTGGCGGGAAGCAGCGCCCCTCCAAGACAATGGTAGGGGAAACACTGGATAGTGTTTAATCAACGATAGGTTTTCCCCCCCTCAAAGGTGATTGGTTCACTGCATCACAGGTATTATTGTGATTGGCTCTTGGGCCACATCAAAATTAGACGCGCTGTCATCCTCTCATACTGACTCCTGACACCACACATACACACGTAGGGAGAGCCGGGACGAAAGTAACACGGGACGAAAGTAACGGAGCGATTTTATCCGAGCCCAAACAACTTTGACCGGCCAAATTACGTCAGAATTATCAGCATTCAATACTTAACAGACCTACTAAATATCATGTTTAACTGTCAGGAGTAGCTAGCTAGTGTTGTCACGATACCAACATTTTGTTTTCGATACCAAGTCAAGAATTGCGATTCCGATTCTTTTTCGATACTTTTCTTAAAAAAAGGGAAACAGTCTTAAATGTAATTATTGTGCTTTATTTCACACCAGAACCATAACCATAACACAAACTTTTAAACAATGAGAACAATAAATAAAACAAATGACAATAATTCGTATTAAATCAAATTAATACATTTCTTACAGACGGGCCTCGTGGTGTCCGTGGCTTGCCCTCACTGTCAGAGATATAGCTAAAATACTTCCAAATTTCGCTTCTGGCGTCTTTTTTGTCAACAAGCCGAGGCGCAGCAGCAGTTGCACTCCCACTTGCAGCCATGCTTCTCGTTTTCTCACATACTCTGGCAGCTAGCGCGTGCATGAGAGAGGGGAGGGACTTAGAACGTACTTGAGAGGGGCGGGACTGCAGGCACGGCTGCAGTGCAGGGAATGGAAGCAGAGCGCTGAATATGGAAGCAAACAAGAGACAGATGTATGGAAGCAAACAAGAGACAGAAGTATTTGAATTTTATTAGACACCGAA